TCAAGACATATTTTGCATATAGTAAGAAATTACATTTGCCTAGGAATATGAGAGCCTTGGGTTTTTGCTAAGATCTGTGACCTCTCCAGCTATGTGTATTTGGCTGGGTTTACAGTACCACACATGAGTTTCCTCCCATTGAGTGGGCTTTAAGTCCAATTAGGTAGCTGTTGATTTCCCCCAAGATAAAAGTGCCACTACTACACCAATGTCATTTGCTGTGCTTGTCATTGATATGATTATTAGGCCTTGAAGCTAGGGCTGGACTGTTATAGGTCAGAGTTTGCAAAAAAAGTCACCAGCACAACTTTAAGAAAAGTAGCAAGGTAAATGTTTATTATTTCAACCGGCTTGGCTGTTTATCTCGGGAGTAGAAGCAGCCCTGATGATTGTCAGGTCAGAGTTTTTATAGGATTACAGAATTATTATTAAAACAGGACATTTGTAAACCAATCAGGTTTGTACAACATAGCAGAATGCTGAATCTATTAATCAACAACCAATCATTATACAGACAAGTGATACAGTCATATAACATGGCAATCAACTTTGTAATTTTAAAATTAGTTAACTTCCTAGCCATAACAAGTATAGTAAGAAAGCTGAAATCAGCAGTTACCAGGTTGTCAGACAATAACAGGGTGGTCTTACACTTTGTATCAAGTGACCTAAAATAGCAAGCTAGTTACAGAAGCGAAAACAAGCAGTTAGCCAGATGTAGAATGTCTGGAATAGCACATTCCATGATTCATGGCTAGGACAATTTCCTAAGACCCAAGGTTGCCCCCCTTTTCCTTTTGGTGTGGAGCAAAGTTGCTTCTAAAATGGCTCTGAACAAAATGGAGTAACTTAGGTAAGTTTGCTGAGCCAGTTCATGGACCATCAATTGATCTTCTCCCTTACCCACTTTCGTAGTGCTCTCCAAAACTATGAGAGCTAGTCTTCAGAGAAGAGGATTCCAGGTCAGTTCCATCTCCATTGCTCCAAATCCTCTGTCTAAAATATGTCCTGTCTTCAGCAATAGTCCTGGGAGGACTCGAGTCCTGGGAGGCAATCAAGGGATGTGGCAATAGCCTGTGTGATTTTTGGAGTTTCTTGGACTACTCTGACCAGCAACTCAAAGGAAGTTTTCTCCTGTCTGGCACTGTTTCTTATTATGTAGTCTTGAGCTATACTCACGGACTCATGTACAGATATTGTATGTATAACTTTTCAGTAGGTTTTTGGACTAATGCCATTCCCTCTGGGTTTTTTTTTAATACTAGCTAGACACTATTTATGTCTTCTCTTCCTCTCCCTGTCTTGTCCTCCATCCCCACCCTCCCAATTTAAAGTGTCCCCATTTTCCCCCCTTCTCACTTGATAAATTTCTGTCTGCAATGGTCCCACCTCTCCTTCCCCTTTATGTTTTGTCAAGTTGACATGTAAAAGTAACTAACCAACACAATTTTCAGAAAAGGTAAATGTTTAGTATGTTTAATTCAAGTCATACCTATATCTATAAAGATGCTTTTTCATTATCACATAGCATTTGTGGAAATATATAAATGGAGTAGGCTAAAGGCCATACTAGTAAGCATTAGATTACATGATCAAAATAAATCGAATCTAGAAAAATAATGCTGTTACTGTGGACTTAATGCAGATAAAAGAAACTATCAAGGAATTACTGTTTCCTCCAGGCAAAACATGTCCATTTCCATCATGGATTGCAGATTGCTTAAGTGACCTGCAGAGTACCTTGGCACTATAGGCATGACAACAAAATAAGTAAAATAATATAGTAATAGCTAGGTCTGTAGTGTGGTTATCAGTGGTTAACACTACCTAGTAGGATGGGGGAGGTCACTGGACCCTCCCCTGAGAGTGTAGATTTCATTCCCTTCTGCCTTTAGTCGCACTTGGTCTTTGGATGTTGGCGTATAAACCAGGTAAAAGGCCAACTAACGGTTAGACTACATTGATGACACTTTCCCTCATGCTGGGTTGAGATCTTTCTGGAATGGAACTGCCTTTGAGTCACCCATGCACCTATAAATAATCCAGGCAACTTATTGGTTCACCGAGCTACACTTGGGTAGAATTGTTACTTTTGTCTGTTTTTGATGCTCTATCTGAGATAAATAGGCCTTTGTTTACATCACAGGAAAAAAAGTCACACAATAGAAACTGATACCTGAATTTTTCCTACAGAAACCCCTATAGTGGCTGTGCTTGTTTCTTTCCTGCTGCCTTCAAGCACCTGACAAAACCACCCCTTGCAGTCTAGCTGCCTCTTCTGACAAGAGAAGCTTCCAGAGGGTCCACTCTTGGAGCAGCATATCTCAAAATGACACTTTCCACTCAATGGCTACATCACAAGTTATCATAAAAAGAAAATGAACTGATGCGTTAAAATGAGTTTTTCTGTATAACAGTATATCTTTTTTAAAGGTTAAAACTTCATTCAATTTTATGTGTTATAGGGTTTACACTGAGTACAATATTGTATATCTGTATTATTTCAACTGTAAACCTAAAAATTGACAGCCAATTTTGAAAGAGATGCAGCTTAGCTCTGGAAATTGTTATTGAATATGTCAATGCTGTTCTATGAAATGCTTCTTCTAATTATGTGGTTATTAAATAAATAATTTTTAAAAAAGAAAATGAACTAAATCAAATGTGCTTAGGTAATTTTTTTCACTTACATACTTTTAATTTTATTATAGTGATTAGCACATATTAAATCTACAACTTAATGGGATTCACTATGAAATATCTGTGCAGACACATATCATGCATCAATCATCTACCTGTGTGTTGAAGTAGTTCTCACCACTTTATTCTTTTTCAAAAATGTTTCCAAAATGTAGCTGCTCAAAGAGTGCCTGTTCTGACATCCATTGGTGTAGGGGCTGAGATCTCAGCAGACTACCTGAGAGTACCTTGGGGGCTGAGAACTCAGCGGACTGCCTGAGAGTGCCTGGATCCAGCCTCCAGGTGGTATAGATGGAATCCCACTGAAATAGGCCAACAGCCCTTGGAAAACTGATGAAGAAAAGACCCAAAAGTTCAGTGCCTTGCCACAATAGGAGGAAGATCATCCCATACCTACCACCTCCTCCAAGGCTCAGGGACTTTTGTGGAAGAGGTTGGCAGAAAGAATATAAGAGCCAGAGGAAGGGGTGGTGTGTTAACTGGAAGTGTCCTCCAACCATTATTCCAGCAAGGAGTTAAGGGGGGAATCAGTTACCCCTCCCACACAATCAGTCAGCCTTAGCTGTGAGTGGGGTGCTAAGGATATAAGCCCAGAATGCCAGGAGGTACCTCTTTCACCATTTTCTGTGGCTGCTCGGAAGTCACAGGATCTATATTTGAGTGTGGACTTTCCAATGCAGCTGTAAATGTGGGGGTGTGCACTCCTCTGTAAATAAACCCCTACCCTATGCTCTGTTTAAAAAAAAAGAAAATGATAAGTGTTTGGATAGATAGATGAGAGGGATCTGACTAGACCACAAGTGGATGGACTTGCACTGGGGAATGTCTGGGGACACTGACTTGACAAAGTGGGCCTTAACACCCAGGACAGAGTAGATGGGTTCCAGTGGGGAAGCTATGGGAGGGTGCTGGTGGGGGCGGGGCTATAAAGATGATTCAGATTCGGGGGATCCTGAACTGTATACCAGTGGAAAACTTGGAGGCCAGAGAGATGGCTCCATAGTTGACAGTGCTTACCACTCTTGCAGAGGACTCAAGTTCAGTTCACAGAACCCATGTCAGGTGGCTCACAACTACCTGTAATTCTAGGACCACGTTATCTGATACCCTTAACTGGCTTCCACAAGCACCCAGACACATGTAATCATACCCACACATAAGTAAACTTTTTTAAATCTCTTTTAAGTGGAGAATATGAGTTGCGCTCAAGCAAGTGAGCATGCGTGCGCTTCCTCTAGACTGAACGTGATGTGGCCAGGTATCACAAGTTCTGCCACTGTGCCTGCTCCACAGTGACGGACTGAAACCTGGAATTGTGAGCTAACCCCTACCCCCCCACCACCTTCACCCACAGTGCTTGTTGTCAGGATATTTTACCACAGCAATGTCTAGGCTATAAAGAGAAGCACACAGAACCCTGAGCACTTGCTACTGGGTTCATTCTTCAGGTCCTACAGTCTCTGTTCTAGACAGTGTTCTGCCTTCTCTTCACCTATTAGCGTAGCCTCGTGTTTACTTGATGTACAGTGTCAGGCATTTAGTTGTATTTAATGAGAGGAATAGGGGAAAATGTGTGGCAACTTCTTCCTAACCAGAGCTTGGAATCTTAAGTTTTTCTTATTGACAACATGTCTTGGTTTAAAAAAGAGGCATTAAAGTGTTTTATCTCGTATGAGAACTGAGAAGAACTTGAGATTTTCATTTGGTATATTTTCAGACTCTTTCCCTATTTCAGCACCAATTGCTTTGGTGATTATGGCCAGTTGGTAGCAAATGTACAAATTCCTTAGCATTTAGTATTACTTTCTTTAAAAGATTAGAGCCATTGAAATATGTAAGGGTTTTATTTCTAAATATTTCATTCATTGCTTCAAGAGTGCTTCTCTGAGCCTGATAATCATCTCTCATTCTTTGAATCTCTATTTCTTCCCAAGAGGTCTTGAGTTTCCCTGAGGAAGCCTGAGCCTGTATACTTAAATGACCTTCCATTCCAAGCACAGGACTTTTCACTGGGAAAGTAAAGTTCCATCCACTGAGTCACACCTGTTATGGGGTGTAGTTTCTTCTGGCTGGTATGATCCTTGCTATCTATTGTTAGGAATGGCTATCCCTTTCTAGACTGATCTGGTCTAATGTGTCCAATATCTTCGGCAGCTGTTGCCCCGTGCCCTGGCCTGGTCGTAGCTGCTCATTAATTAGGGGCATTAGCTTAGTTTTAACTGCAGCATTCCTTGTTTATTAAAAATATAGGGAGATTCCAAGTTACAAATAAACTGCTGAATTCCTTTTTTTTTTTCTAGGCAAAAACTTATTATGCCAAATGGAAGCTGTCCTGTTATTCTGAATACTTACTTTTGTCAGAAAGCTGTCGCCAAAGAGACACCTCATGAAGCACACTGTCAGGCCTCACCTCTTTCCAGAAGAAACATCACTTTGGCCCAGATGTTTAGAATTAAGACTTTATCAAATAATTCACCTGGCAGTCAGGTAAATTCTCATTTATGTAGGGGTTTTGCACTTGTAATAGTAATGATATTGGATTTGAAAGGGCCTGTGAATAAGTGAAGATGTTCGTCTTCTGTCCCCAACTGTATATGCCAGATGGTCTAATAATTATTATGCCTGAAGATATGAAAGCTCAGATAGCATTTAGTCGTGGTCTTTTTATAATCATCCAGCTTTCTATTATGTACTTTTCATCTTTAATTTATTAAAATATATTAAAGTATTTCCAGTTCCATGGTGACATGGCTAGCACACTCTGGACTCTGAAAGTATTTTCTCTGTTCTCATTTTGAAACTAAGAACTTTAAGACTTTATTTATTTATTTTAAACAAATCTTTTTTTTCTTTTCCTGGTATCTATAGCCCTTAAGATAGAAATAGCTTTCAAGTTTGAGGTTGTATGATAGAAATTGATTGGGGAATATTTTTGACTCTGAGTCATGGTTATTTACCAAAAGGAATTTGGAGTTCCAAATTCACTGGCAGTGGGCAAGGTATGTATCTATGAATACCTTCAGCTCTGGTTTATATCCTCCCTCAGCAGTTTTATCCTGGGTCACCTTAGGCAATTTTTTTGTGTCTCAATTTTATCTATGAAGATCATTGGGTTCATTGTGAAAATAAACATTAAAATATAAAGAACAGGGTCCAGAAGATAGTGAGTGCTTTCAGAAGTATTCTTTGGCTTATGATCGTTTATAATATTGTATAGAGCTATCAGCAGAATGCTTGAATATGCAGAGTACTTAGCCTATTGCACATATGAGCACCTAATAAAGTGACTCTTTTTTAATATTTTATTATTTATTTTATGCGTATGGGTGTATTGCCTACATGTGTGTGAGTGCATCCATGTCATGTAATGCCACGGAGGTCAGAAGAGGGCTTCAGAGTCCCCTGGACCTGGAGTTAAGAACAGTTCGTAGCCACCATGTGGGTGCTGGGAATTGAACACGGGTCCTCTGCAAGAGCAGTCAGTACTCTTAACCACTGAGCCAACTCTCCAGCCCTAAAGTGACTCTTTTTTATAAAACCCTAGTCATTCAGAACAAAGAAACTGAAAAAATATCCCTATGGTTATTTACTAGCAGGACTGTGTACTTGGTGTTCTGTACTGCTGTCATCTACCTTCCCCTCCCAAGCAAGGCTAGTTCTCTGATGTAGAGCCCAGTACTACGTGTTTATATCTTCCTTTAATGTCATGCAGATACTTTGGGGCGTTACCTAATGATGTCATTATTTGGGGGAGGGGCATCATGATGCAAGCCAAACTGAAGTAGTTCCTTCTGCATGTCTTGGCCAGATTGAATGCAGTAGCTTGGCTACTGCAGGCACAGGCTGGACCCACAGGCCTGAAGAGGCAGAGCAGCACCTTGCAGTTGGCACTCCCCTGGGGGCCTCTCTTCTGGACATTGCGGAAAGCCAAACAGCTGGCACATGGTCTGAAGTTGGGGTCCGAGTGGTAGTGCAGAGGGCTTACTCTCTTCTTGGCAGAGACAGTGCCAAAGGCCAACAAGGACACAGCGCAGAGCATGCAGACTCATCTGGAGCACGGTGAGCAGCAAACACAGTTACGGGTAGAGAAGGCACAGCAGACAGTTCTGAAGAAAGGTAGCTCTGCTCAGAGGACTGTCTGAGCTGAAATCGCTATGTTCATGGGCTGTTTTGTATATCTTTTTCTTACATCAAAATTTGGTAAATGTGGTTATAACAAAGGATTTTATCTCCTTATTTTTATAAGGCCCACTGAAAAAGAGAATTGTTGCAATTTTCCTTTCACTGGTTCATGTTTTGGAAAGTAATAAAAATTTAAGAACTATTGGTATGGTTCTAGAAAAGAAGACCATGGTTACTATACCCCAACACTGAGAAAAATGATGGTAATTAGAAAATCTGACTTTCAGAGACTGCTTTTTAAACAGTGTACATTAGTAAAGCCTACCAGATTGTTTTCTGACAGTGTGAACTTTGTGTACCTGCACTGGCCCATACAGTAGCCTTTGACCAGATGGAAATGTGGCTACTGTGGTTATGAAAATAAATTTAAATTTTTATTACACTTATTTGGGGGAGGTGTATGTGGTGTGTGTGTGTGTGTGATATGTATGGTGTGTGTGGTGTGTGTGTCTGTGTGTGTTATGTGTGGTGTATGTAGTGTATGTGGTGTGTGTGCTAAGTGTATGATGTATGTGGTGTGTGTGGTGTGTTTATATGGTGTACATGGTGTGTGTGGTATGTGTATGGTATATGTGGTGGAGGGATAGGGGGCTTGTGCATGCTACTACACATGTATAGAGGTCAGAGGACAACTTGTAGGAGTCAGTTCTATCCTTCCATTACTTGAGTCCTGGGGATCAAATTCAGGTCATTAGGCTTAACAGCATGTTTGCCTGCTGAGCCGTCTTGCATGCCCAATAACTTTAAGTAGTCCCTTAAGGCTAATGGTTGCTCTGACAGGTGGTATAGCTACACAGTTATATGAGCAAAGACCATGATCCAAAGTACTTTGCTCAAAGGAGCAATGAAAAGGAATTCTTCAGATTTAGGCCCTAGTTTACCTGCTTTTTCAAATGTCTATGGAAACGTCACTGACTGAAGGCTTTGTGTCAGTGCTTTGGGAAACACTTTTTTTTTTCAAAATAGAAATATAAAATTTATTTAAAACCAACCACAAATTTCTGTGTAATCAGGAATGATACAATTAGCAGTAGCTTCTTTTTTTAAAAAAAACTCAATGACAAAGATTTAAAATATATTTTCAATTACAGTATTCATTTAGCCTTATTAGGTTAGAACAATTTAAAAAGAAATTTTATGCTCTAAACAAATGAAACACACAAGGAAAATATAATAGACAATTTTCACAACTGTCTTTACATTTATATTTGAATGCTAGTACATTTCAATACATTTCAGTACATAAACATGAAATCATATACAACTGTTGTGCACCAGATTTTAGATCCTTCAAGTAACTTGCAATTCCAACTCACAAGTCTTCAACTACTGATAGTGTTGTGTACAGAGAACTACGTATTGATCATGAACTAAAGTTGTCATGATTCTAAGATTATCTCTTTCCCTGCTACATGGTGAAGTGCTTTCCTTAATTGTTTCCCTTGTATATAAAAAACTAAATTTGGTGGAATTTAAAAAGCATTTCCTAAAAAGTTTTAAAAATAAATAAATAAAAAGCACTTCCTAAGTTTTTTTTAAAATTATTGAGATAGGATGTCAATAGATAAGAAAGGTAAAAAATAAAATAAAATAACTAGTAAATACATTCCAAAGAGGAGCCAGTCAAAGACCAGAATATGAACCTAGGAAGTTGGTATTTCTCGTACTTCTGTTCTTCATCTGGAGAATTGGTGAATATTTTTTACACCCAAAGATTCCTATAAGACAAGCTATTCGTATGTAAATTTATGAGGCAGATAAATACATAAGAAACGAACTAACTAGAAATTCATGCTGATCTCTCTCTGCCATGTAATCTTACAGTGTTCTCTTTAGGGAACACTTATGATACTCTAGTATCCCAAATAAGACCATTGCCCACACTCCACAATGCAAAAGCTGCCCTTAGTTTTCACTATTAAAACCATTTCTGGAAAATATTTCTATTAAAGCACCTATCACAATGTTAACTCCATAAAAGCTAAAAAAAATTTGACCGTACATTACAATAAAAATATTTAATCTTTCTTAAGAGCTTGGGTTTTTGTTTGTTTGTTTGTTTGTTGTTATTTTTTGGTAAACGAGTATAGTCAGCTACTTTATCACAGCACAAATACACATTGGTGAGGATGTGAACTTGCTATGTGCACCAAAGTCATGGGGGGGTCTCATTGAATATTCAAGGTTATTTGGCCTGTTTAATCTCTTTTCTTGTGACCCAGAATATATATTTATGAGATATTCAAAGTAAACTGCTTCTATACATAGACTTGTAAGATAAACTGCATAGATTGCTAGCAGCTTTACAGATACATCTCAGTGTGTATCATAATTCTGTACACAAAGGTAGTTTTTCCAGTGGTGGGGGGGGGGTTGTGGCTACAAAGCAGAACCAAAAAAAAAAAAAAACCAAGAGAAATCAAATAATGTAGAACACTTTAATCCCAGTACTCAGGAAGCAGAGGCAGGAGGATCTCTGTGAGTTCAAGGACAGCTGGGGCTACAGGGAGACCTTGTCTCAAAAAGACCAAAAAATAAAAAGAAAAAGAAAACTATTTGAATGAAAAAATTGTTCTATTGTAATAGTAAAGGGATAATATTCTTTACACATTTTTGGTTTGGTTTGGTTTGGTTTTTGGTTTTTTTCAGATAGGGTCTCCCTGTAACACTAGCTGACCTGGAACTCACTAGGTAGACCAGGCTGGCCTTGAACTCACAGAGATTCACCTGCCTCTGCCTCCCAAGTGCTGGAATTAAAGGCATGTACCACCAAGCCTGGCAAATAACTTATTTTTTACAATACCTTAATTCAGTTCATAGTGCAGCTAGCAGTCTACAGATACAGTGGTTCACTTACACTATGAGCTATGTGGCAGGGAGCAAGCCACTTTCCACATTTGTCATCTACAGGTACCTCATCTATAAAATGGGAACAAAGCCTTACTCTTGGGGACAAAAAGTTGAACAAAGCAAACACCGTTTACTTTTACAGGTTGAATTTATTTATTATGTAGCTGAGGCTGGCATCAAACATCAGATCCTCCTAAGTCTACCTCACAGGAGATAGGCTTATAGACATACATAGCAAGACACTCTCTCAAAATAGAAAGGTTAATTTAAAATGGGTTTGGAGATAAAGCTATATAATCAGAGTGAGAAGTTTCATAATGGGACCAAACATAATTTTTCAAGTTCTTTGGGTGCTAAGTAAATGGTGACAGTCAGGGCACAGAAAAGAGAGAGGAAGGAGCATACTCCAAACTCAAAAGCAAGAAGTACTTTTCATCTGTAATCAAAAGTAAGTGCTAAAACCAGCAAACCAGCTACTATTTTGAAAACAAATACAACAGAAATAAATTAATTCATGGGCATCTTTTTTTTTTAAATGTATATGAGTGTACTGCCTGCATGTAGGTAAGTGTACCCGTGTCGTGCAATGCCCTCGGAGGACAGAAGAGGCCGCCGGATCCCCTGGAACTGGAGTTACAGGCAGTTGTTACCTGCCACATGCATGCTGGGATTTGAACCTGGGTGTTCTACAAGAACAAGCAGTGTTCTTAATCACTGAGCCATCTTTCCAGCCCCCATGGGCATCACTTTTAAAGTTATCTTTCTAGTACTGTTGAAAAGTATGAGACAGATTTGCAACAGAATACAAATTGAAAGTATACATGCCACCCATCACACAATAGGAGCAGTATTGGTGCCTTCTAATGCCAGTTAGAATACATGAGAAGTGCTTCAGTGTTGTGATCAGTGTTCAAGTGAATGGTACTCCATCTGAAAGCACTATACCTTTGAAAAGTCCCGATGAGGTCTAGAGTTAAAGAATAATTCTTGGAGCTGGAGAAATGGCTCAGTGGTTAAGAGCACTCTTGTAGAGGACCTGGGTTCAATTCCCAGCACCCACATGGCATCTAGCAACTGTCTGTAACTCCAATTCTAGGGGATCCAACACCCTCTCTGACCTCCTTTGGCATTGTACAACACAGGTACATTTATATACATCCAGGCAATACACTCATACACATAAAATAATAATAATAAAATGTTATTTTAAAAAGAATTCTTTAGAATTATAGAAAAAGTAATTTTTTTCCAGTTGGAATATATATGTAAGATCCATTAAATAAGGTCTAATGTAATTTCTATGCTTATAATTAGTGATCAATATTTGTACTTTACTGTGAAATTTTTAAATAAAACTAGCAATGACGATTATAGATTAGACATAATTGCTGTTTTATGTTTTAGTTTTACTTGGCTTTCAAGAAAAGAATACAAGTAAGCTTTGCAACTAGGACCATCCCTCTAAAGCTTTCCCAGCCATACTGAGCACACTCCCAGGACAGACACAGAAGGCTGAGTCACCATGAAGAGACGGCACAGTGGCACCAAGAGGAGCCACTTCCTTCACACTGTGTTTGGAGGCCTCCCTTCACACGCTTCACTGCACTTGTGCTTGTGAAGAGAACATTCAAAGCTAAAATCTGGTGAATTACTGTTCATGCTTGGTTGTCTGTGCTTTGAAATTCTTCCTTGAAACTTGGCCATAACATAAGAAGTAAAAGTGTGTTTGTGGGGGACTAAAGGAAGGCCAGGCATAAATGTCAAGAATCAGAAAATAGCATTCATTTATTCATTTGTAGTGAATATGGTATCTGTCTATTTCTTGTAGCATGTGTAAGATTGTAGACACTGGGACTAAAAGATATCATTCCTTTTTCACAAGTGAGGTTCTTACTTGGAACAGAATTAAAAATATAGTGGAATATAAAGTCCCCAAACAGCAGGATGAAAAACTGTTTTGGAGTCGAGAGATAATCAAGCTGTGTCTGGATTAATGCTATCCTAGGGCAGTAAGAGAATAGTCTCTG